ACCACCCTCGACACTCCTCTTGACCACCCCTCCGACACCCTAGACATCATACGGATAACCTACTACCCCCGGTCTCGATCGAAGTGGAAGTCCCCTCCCGTACCACACCCACCAGCACTGAGGACAGTGCTGCACTTTGAAGGAGATGCCATGTAACGGGCCAAACCGACCCACTGGGCTGTTGATTTGTTTTAACGTTTCAATGTCATATTTTTGGTTTCAATTTTCAGAGCTTGCTGAGACACATCTTGGATCCGTGAGTTGGGCTACTTCAATTCACGTACCAGATCGATTTTGTACTCACGCCGTCTCCTTACTACGTCCCTACCGTCTCGAGCGGATGAACATTCTCCTTCCGGTTTGGTCTTTTCGTCCAGTTTCGATTATGTATTATTAGAGACTACCATCCTCAGATATTTTTCCACTCGTTTTTTTATACTAGTTTTTCCATACCCTTCGTTGATATCGTTCTACATTATTAAACCCATATCTATAGCAGAACCTTCTTTCCTCCTACTTTATGTGTGACATTATGCCTGTTGAAAAGAAAAGGTTGTCTGCAGTTTACTCTGAGGTTAACCGCCTTTTAGAAGAGATCTCTGTATTATTTGCCGAGAGTCATCATCCCCCTTTATTATCAAACCACGCGCCGGATTCGTCAAGGCCACTAGTAGTAGTGATTGGCTTATCGATTTTTTGCATGCTCTCGCCGTCGGCCGACACACGTCCGCTGCTCGTGAGTGCATGCAGGTGCGACAGTGGCGACATTATGACGTGGCGCAATCTGCTGATAACACCTGCAAGCGAGCTCTCGTTACTGCGACTGCAAATCCGGTAAATCTGTTGTTTTTTCCGTTTTCTCCAGCATGTGGAAGCTGCCATCAAGGCGAACTTTAAGAAAACGTGCGTTGCGCGGATGTCGGAAAGATGTACGTAAAATTGAGCAAGAAGCAAGGGGAATGGCTAGATTGTCAGACTCTTGACTCTTCTAGAGATGCCGAGTTCTCAATGTCGCGAGGATTGAGATACCGAAGGCCTTCAAACTTGCCTTCAAACGTGCCCACGATCGGCATCAGTGGCACAGTGGGCGGTGTCGACAATCTACAACCCAAATTGGTGAGTCAACTTATACACTTAACCGTGTCACCCTCTGTTATGTTACGTTTCCGTGCGTCTAGATTTCCTAATTTCCTCCTTTCAGACGTACGACGCAACAATGACGACGATGATGCGCAAGGGCCTTACGGGCTACCAGCTACTATGAAATCCGCAGTGTTGCGTTCGGGTAGCCAAGAATTTTGAAAAAGCGCCCAAAGAAACCTCTTTTTTTATTTTTTGTACCATACTATTTTTGAGCCCGCTTTTTATATTAATAAACATATTCCTTAACAAACAATCTTCAAAAAGTAATATTTATTGCGTTTCGAAAAAATGGGGGGTTTCGCAGGGAAGAAGGTAACCCCTGTCCGGATGAAAAATAAAAATCGCAGCCAACCTCCTACCTGTACCCCCGACACACTCCCCATTCTCCCCGATGGGCTGCTCCCTCCCGCTACCATTGA